TAGTATATATATATATATATATATATATATATATATATACTCGAATGTTAACGTATAGAAAGGCAATTTCCAATTCCTAATGAAAGTGCAACAAAATGGACCAACTTTATAAGCTCAAAATTACAGCAATCCTTATACACCGCGGAAGATGCAATGAAATTTGAGGTAGGAATTTCCAATAAAAGACACACCCAATCAAACTACTACCCCATACTTTCGCTAGATTTGGCCTTCATTAAAATAAATTTATCAAAGAAACCAAAAGCAGAAAAGACAAAAGGACAACAAAAAATAGAAATTACTTGACAACAGTTTAGAAATTATAACAAAAAAATTTTGCCTACCTTAACGCTGGCTTCTTTTCCTTGAAAGTATCATCGAACAGTGAAGATTTGCGCTTCTGGTAATGATGATCCCTAGGACTTTTCATCAGGCCCTGCAAATTGTTACTGGAACTAAAAAAAATGAATCGAATTTGGTATCTATGAAAACAGATATAATAAAAGAAGTCCGGTCGTATCAATGAAAAAATGTTGGGCTTAATAAATCTAAGTAAGAGATAATAAGAGATAATGAAATTTTGCTTAGTAAAATGAAAAAGGACAACGAACATCACGTGTTTTCCAATCGCTGTAATGACTCCAAGCATCGGAAGCTGATCGCTGCCTATTACCATGGTTATGCTTAAATGAGTACTATATATATATATGCATATATATAATTGTACAGTTACTGCATAAAAAATAATGCTTAAAAACTAATTTGAACGATAAGTTACGCACATAACTGGCCACAAATATAACTTGAATTACTGTGTTCTTTTACTTGAAGTTCATATTCCTCTATCGTAAAGACTCATGAAACATGCATAAACCAAAACAACCCAATTTTTGGAGCTCTCAGTCATTATTCATTAATTAATCAGCCAAAACTAAACCAAACTGAATTTTAGTTATTTAAATTGAATTCACTTGAATTAAATTCAATCAGTTAGAAGTGAACTTTAATTACTTGATTGAATTTATTTTAATTATATTCAAATAATTAAAAGTGAAATTCACACAACTTCTGAGAGTTACTTCCTACATAGATAACATAACCCGGTGTTATTGCTATTTATCAAGCCTGGGCTGGCAATAAAAATATCCGACTGTCGCGATGTAAAGCTTTGGGTCATCTAGTTTTTATTTTTGTTAAGCCCTCGTATTTCCTTCACTTGAAAGCTTGGACTGAACTCAGTAACTTTTTCATGAGCAATTCTCGTCATCAGACATACAAATAATGCTCAGCAGTTGTCAAAACCCTGCAATTATAGGAAAGGAAAAATTTAAGGAACATTCACCGTAGGTGATGCGATGGCAAATGAGGTGCTTTGGAAGGAAATTCGGTTACCATTACTACTGCTGCTGTTGCTGCCATCATGGAATGTAGCACCATCATGAAACGATTCGAAGTGTCTTGGATTAGACATTGATGTACATTTCTTAAAACTTTCCAAGGAAGATGTATTTATCAAGGCGACCTAAAATGTGGTATTCTGACAACCGTTTATCGAAGAAATACCGAAGTTTATCGAGTCATTTATCGGAGAAATAAAGAAGATTTGAATGGAAATCAAATATAACTACGTATGACTTACTAATGAATTGACTGATACAGACTTACGCCTCGAAGATTAATTTCCGTTTCTATTTCGACTAAAAATAATATTATCGACATGTCAGGAAGTCAAGCAGCACTACCTTCCTAACACCATTTATAATAATCAATTACCCAAAACTATCACCCAAAGATCATGGCTTTTCTCGTATTCGTTAAATTTCAAAATGAATTTTGCATCGTTCGGAAAACCCGTAAATATTAATATAATAATGAGAAAATATGGGTATATTTTACATAATCTATGCAAGAAAATCCATACATAATTGTTCGGAGCGAGGTTTAAACTTGAACCTTATAACTTGAATACTTGAAAGATGGGATAATTCACAGATAATTATCAAGTATTTCATTCATCCCTTAATATCAGCATTCGAGAACTATTTATCATTTATCGATTTATCGATTTTATTTATCGATTTTAACTCACTAAAAGTAGTAAGCAACTAACTACAAGAATTATTTTCGATTTGAAACTAAAACACTTCACCGCCACCAAACACTCAAACAACCGACCACCCTTTCAAACCCCACTGACAGCGCTACAGAAACTTCGGCTTAGTGGCCGGGTCCATCTGTACAGACCACGCTGTGCAACTTATTGTCCTGATTTCAGTTTACCATAATTCACATTTCCGTGAAAATAATCGAGGCAAGATAATTAGGACAAATTCGAGTAATTAGTTTGGATAGCACTAGAATGGGCTCCAACGTTCGAGATCCGGCTACAATCCTCTTTTGCATCCTCTCTTCCTCTTAATATTAGCGAGTCTTTGCTCAATCTTCCTTCACTCATCACTATTATTTCAACTTTGCTCTAGTTAGTTATGTTTTGATAAGAAATTTTCAAACCTTATAGCAAGCATCACTTCTCATTCTCTCCTGTTTCTTTCTTTGAATCAAAAATGGAAGAAATGGAAAAATCAATGAAAACTTATCACATTTTCCCGGAAGTTTTACCATTTCTATTCCAAGCATCCTTCCAGGCTGTTACCTAATTAGAATACTCACACTGACAAATTCATTTGAACAAGATTTAAGGAGAAACTGATGTATGTAAACTTACTTGTAAAAGCATTACTATCTTATATTTATCAAAGATAACTCAGGAATGACTCACTTGAGTACGAGTTCGCTGGTTAGGAATTGTTTGCGAAAGTACACACAGACGCAACAGCTAAAAATGGACAGTAATAGATGATTTCTTAAGCATATTCTTTGAAGCTTAGCTGCGATATCGCAGAGTTTACAATTTCTAAGATGATGGAATGGCTAGACAAATCACGAAAGGACCCTAGTAAACCTCTATTCATCGAGGCGTGTACAGAAAAATGGAAAAAGGGATGCTAGTATTGTCACATTTATCTTCAAGTTAGTCCTCGAAAGTTAAGACTTCATAAATTATTTCAGTTAACTAAATTATTTTACATTAAATAAAATTTGGGAACCAAAGAGATCCTTCCTCAAAAAGAAGAGCAATCCTTAGCAAAAGCTAGAAGTTGGGAGAACAATTAATTATTTCCCGGGTTCTCCTGTAACACAATATCTATCTGCCCACAGAGACACACACACAATTTCAAGTGGCATTTTTTTCTGCTAATGTGTAAAGGAAAGAAAGAATGAATAAACCATTTTCCGTGCTATTTTCATTCTTAAAAATATGGCCGATCTTTCTCGATCCCTTCAAGCTTTTAAAGTTTTTTCTTTTTTTCTTTATTATTCATGTGTCCATTGGGAGAATCGTGCATTCCGATCATTTTAGTTTCCATATGTCATCGGCAGTCTTTCTTATTTTCTTTTCTCGCAACATGTTAGCATCAAATTTCCACTGCGGTTAATGTTACTTATTCAATTTACTTCCTGCTTTCAACCGAAATCTGTTGCAAGCAATATATTGGGTAATTTTATTTACTGCGACATTTGCAACTCGAGATTTACTGTAGGTCATTTTAAAGCGTAAAAATAATCCTCCATCTCCCGGCCTGTTTTATTCGATTGACAAAGATTTCCTTTTCTTAATTCTCACATTATTTCTGTCCTTTTTTAACGTAACTAACAAAGGTCAGTTAGAGTTCATTGACTTTTTCTAGCCACAATGGTTTTGTTTTTAAACGAGTTGCGATTACAAAAGGTTCTGATGAGTTCGGGGATCAAAAAAATTCATTCTGACTGGCGATCCATGAAAGTCTAGAAGAATTTGTCTTCTACAGAATCATTTTTCTTTTCCTATTTTCTGAGGCTCAGTCATATTCCCTTCCTCCCCATTCTTCAGTAATTATTATCTTCATTATTTTGATTATTTTTATGTAAATGGTTTATCAGAGTTCTAAAGAGAAGTGATTCATTCCTGTGCTTTAGAATTCTTCCATATACAAAAAAAAAAAAGAAAACCTTTCAGTTACAACTGATAGTTGACATTTTACTGTGTTTTAACGAAAACTATAAAAATAACGAATTATTGAGTTTATTTTCTGAGAATTTACTGAAACTTTCCGATTCCAAGCTCTCCTGTAATGTTCTGCATAGATTGTCTAGAACGAATAGATAAAGGATAAATGTTTACTAATCAAATTGCTCTTTTTCTTGACCAGTTCTTTACTTATTCATTTTGCTCCAATAACTACTGACAAGGACAATTCACAGATTCAAATTTTCTCTTATTCTATCAGGATATATGAATTAGCTTTACAAACAAAAAATTTTAAATCAAATTTGACCTAATTTACCTTATAGAAAATTTAGCTAATGTTCTTTTAATAAATTCCAATCTTAAAAATCGTATAAAGAGTGGACTGTAAATATCGATTGGTCACTATGTGCAATTTTAACTGATTTGGTCACAAGCATTCAGTACAGACTCACAAAAAGAATTTCACGTCATTGCTATCATAGTTTCAATTTTTTGCCAAATTGCCATTGATCTTTCCGTGTGCTGTAAGAAAGGTTGAAAAAGCTTGAAGCTTGAAATATCAATGTAAATATGAAATAGTGGATGGCCAAAGCTTAACACTCAATCGACGTAATGTGCAACTTCAAGTTGACAGTGCATGACAGGACAACCTAAAATCATCACTATGTACTGCCTCAAAATTTTCTCGCTGCTTCATTTGCTTAGTGAGTTGCTGTCTAGCAATGCTTTAAAAGCAGAAATAGTTATCACTATAGTTGCTTGATGAGATATATGGACAATTCAGAGCTCATTGGAGATACTGAACTGATAACGTAGAAGTAATGAAACCATAAATATATAAAGCCTAGTCCTTTTTTTAGAGTATTTTGCTCTGTTCTATTTGCTGGTAATATTACTTTATTAATTAAAGTTTCTGAACTAAGGTGGGAAATAATAATATGCATGACTTGTCTTTATGGACAATTTCCAAATGCATAATTCCCACTGTTTGATTAAAGCCTTTTTCCAATGTTTCCTTCTCATCCTTCTTTCTCAGTATTTTTTTTTTGCTGTTTCCATATCTGGTTTATGAAAGCAATTTGTTCATTGTTATTTTTTTCATTCAAATCAATTTTTACCCCCAAAAAAATCCTAAAATCCTTCAATTAGACCAGTCTTGGAAGATTACTTTTCGTAATTATTCAATTAGATAAGTATGCTTAGTGGTTCATGAAGTCAAAGCTTCCCAAACACTTTTTGTTTGATATAAATTAGAAAAACGAATTTTCGCACAAACTATAAGGACATCACTTTTGCTGCCAATATTCATATCTGAGCAATTTCTTTTTGAGTTTCATTAGAAGACTGAAAAGTCCTTTGTAATCAATATTCTAACTGAATTAAAAATAAAGATGTCAACAGTCAATATTATGAGCCTATCACCAGAAAATCATAATTCTCAAATTTCAAACCTTCACATTGAAATTTGGGGATTATGATTCATAAAAGCTATAGTTCTTTCAACTGTCTTTAGAGATAAGCTAAAACAACTTTCCCTAATTACTTATTTTTTTAGTAGCATCAGATCCTTTAGTAAAAATCATTAGATTTTACACCATAAAATTTTAAATCATTAAATTTTACATCCACGATATCTTCACAAACGTATCATCAAGTAGCGCTTACTATACTTTAATAATATTAGAGTTTAGTAAAAGACAAATAACATTGGTACCTTCTTATAGATATCGTTAATCCAAACTTGCTATTACTTATTCAAACTTGTGCTCTATCATCTTTGCTTCCTGCTAAATTAGATCCATTTAATTATAATATAATTAGTTTTTCACACATGGGAAGTGTAGAATCAACGGCCACTTCAGTTGACTTGATAGGTTCGCCGTGTCATTCTCCACTGCGACGGCGTTCGGTTAGTAAATATTTTAGTCTTTAATTTTTTATTCTATTTCTCAAGATTTAGGGATGAGAATTTTTCAAAGACTTCCCTGTTTTTCAAAGATTTATGACCACAAAAGTTTTTTGAAATAATTTTCCTACATAGAAAAATTGTAAATATTGTTTCAGTAATTCAGATCTTTTCTTGTTTCTAGAGAGCGGAATTCCTGGCTACTCAATCTCGGAAATCTTCGTCAATCAGTTTGGTATGTTAGCCTATTTGCTTAAAATGGCTACCCATGGGAGGCCTGGAAGGAGCGAAATCGAAGACTTTTTGAAAGCAATTTCTAAGAAATAAGCTTCTCTTTTTATTTCGAATTTTTTCCAGTGTGAAAAAAGGTTTAGGTGTTATGACAGTAAAGTTTTTTTTCTTGGATATTCTCATGAGATAATTAAGTAGATTTAAGATACAAGAAAACATGTAAGCATAAACAAAGATATTCCAATAACTCCGAATGAAAAAGCTTGATTATTTCCTCCTTTCTCAACGATTTTGTTTACAATACTTATAGCTTTATGAACTGACCTATCAATGGTGAGATCTCCTTGTCCCATGTATCCTGTCACTTCTTTCAATTCGTCCATCCCCACTTTCAATTGTTTTCTGAACGTTACAGTCCATCTGTATAAATCCTTAAAGTTTCACTAGCTTTTGACTTATGAGTAAATGGGAAGAATAAAATAAAAACAAACAAGCATGCATCTTTCTGAGGAATAATTGTTATTGTAGGGAAAAATGTCTCCCACTTCACGGAGACAAATGCCATTGGTCAAGTATGGCTGCAGTAAGAGTGATCTATTGCTGTCAACATGGTCACCTCGACGTCAAGAAGATACGGATTCAGCTCGAAGTTGTTCTGAGAGTAGGTCAGTTTTGACATGGTGAAAGCTTAAAGGCTGTACTTCAGTTTGATTCATCGAAAGAGTTAGATCAGAGAACAAAACTGAAAGCTTAAAAACCAAAATAAAGAAAGTCATAGATTGCAGTATTTTAATTTTTCAGAAAAATGAAACATAATTTGGCGGAATCTAACCTTGAAGCTCTATTTTCGTCATCCAGCAATCTCAGGTCTTTTCTGTTCTTTGTTGTTTTTTTTCTTTGAAATGTATTTAAACTTGTGGTGTTCCATTTGTGCTATTACTCATCTCGGGAATTCTCAACCCTGGAACTACCACAAGAATTATGTTTTAGGCAAGCGCTACAACCACGTATTGAAATATCGGGTGATTTAACAACTTCACAAAACAGCGCAATACGACGATTATGGAAGCAGGTTGCCTTTTCTTGTTGTCCAATTAGCAATAATAAAAAAAATTTATCTTTGGGGGTCAGAGGTCAGAGGGGTGGGAATGGAAAGAGTAATATTAAATTGAAAACCTAATAGAGGATAGAAGTGAAGATAATTTAAAATATCTCTGACTATACTATGCAGGAAATGAAAAGGTATTGCGATAATAAATCTGAGCTCGCAAGTCGATTACTACTGCGCATATTTGCTATCAATCCACGCCTTCAAGCACTTTTTCATCTTTCAAATTTGCCTTATTATGAAATACGGAAAAATCCACTCTTCAAACTTCACGTTAAGGTTAATTATTTTAATCCTTAATTTTTTGTTAATAACAATTTTTTATTTGTTGGTCGGTTAATCTTGCACTTTTTTTTTTCAATTTGATATTAATTTGAAGGTTATTAAAAATTTCCATTTTGGTAAACAATATCTTCTTTTAACAGTGAATTATCTTGGTAAATACAAATGAATGGGAGTAGATGATTGTTAACATATTTCGAGCTCAGTTCAGTTTGTTCCGCATGTCATTTAGGCCATTGCGTCATTTTT